GCAGTGTGTCCAGAGAAATGTGTGCTCAGAGAAATGACAGTGCTTCCCCTCGGTCCTTGTGTGGATGCTGGCAGTGTGTACAGAGAATGGCAATGGTGTCTTTCTCCCTGGGTTTTTATAGCCCGAGACAGCTCCCATACCAAGACCTCCCTACTGAGTTTAGCTAAACTTGCCTTCTGGTTCAGCTGTATATGTTAAACCCACTTCCTCAATTCAGAATTATAAAACAAACTCACTGAGTTATCTGGCTTACTGTTGTTTCTGAGTCTCCACCAGAGTGCACCGTGCCCCACCAATCCCAGCTTTTCTGTGTGTGTGTGTCTTAATTACTGTTTTATTGCTGTGGCCAAGGAAATGTTTATAAGAAAGCATTTAACTGGGGGCTTGCTTACAGTTTCAGAGGGCGGGTCCATGACCATCATGGCGGGAAGTCTGATAACCGGCAGGCAAGCATGGTGCTGGGGCAAGAGCAGAGAGCTTACTTCATGATCTGCAGGTGGGGCCTGGGTTTTAAAACCTTAAAGCCCACTCTCAGTGACACACCCAACAAGTTCACACCTCCTACTCCTTCCTAAACAGTTCCCCTAACTGGGGACCAAACATTCAAATGTGTGAGTCTATGGGAACCATTCTCATTCAAACACTACAATGTGTCTGTGGTTTCTTTACTGCCTGTCGTCCCAGTTGGGATGCATGGCCATGCATGTAGTGCCATGCTTACTCAATGATAATCAATACAGAAGACATAATAATCTCTCCCCAGCCAGTTCTGCAGTGGGTGCCATGGTCTAGTGCTCTAATGTCATATTAGTTATCTTTGGCATTGCTGTGACAAAGGCCACTGTCGGGGTATAACTGTCACGGCAGCAGGCAGCTGAGATACCTGGTCACCCTGTGTTTGCAGTCAGAAGGGGGTGAATACTTTCTCAGCTCATTTTCACCTTGTATTCAGGAGGGAACCCCAGCCTCTGGAGCGGTGCCGCCCATGTTTAGGGTGGGTTCTCTCACCTCAGATAACCTAGTCTAGAAACCTCACAGATGTGCCTGAAGGGTTTTCTCCAAGGCATTTCTAGACGTTGTCAAGTTGACAATACACGTTTGCCTGGAAACAGCATGAGAACCACAGGGCATCTTCCGTCAGCTCACACCAGTTGCCAGCTCCAGGTTGTTGACCGTGTGACTACAAACTGGATGTTCTAGCTTTGTTCCGGTTACTGTGACAAATGCCTTGGCCAAAAGCAGCATCAAAAAGACAGCGTTTATCTGGCTTGTAACTTCAGGTTACAGTTGCTAATGACATCACATCCACAGTCAAAAGCATCTAGCTTTCTCTGCTTAGGGACTGATGCTGTCCACAGTGGGATCAGTTATCTTATGCATCATAAGTTAACTTATACATCAGTTAACCATCCGGACAATCCCTCAGGAATGTAAAAGGAGACTGTGCCTTGGTTTCCCACCTGCCCAGACCCAAATAATCACATAGAAACTATATTAATTACAACACTGTTTGGTCAATAGCCCAAGCATATTCCTGACTATCTTTTATGACTTAAATTAATCCATTTCTATCCATCTATGTATCACCACAAGACTGCGGCCTCCCAGTAAGGTTCTGGCCTGGTGTCTGTTTCCTTCGGCAGCTACATGGCATCTTCTTGACTCTGCCTGCTCTCTCTATACCTCTGTTTGGATTTTCCACTTGACTTTACTCCGCTAAGCCTTCGACTTTATTCATCAACCAATAAATCAACACATATACAGAAGGACCTCCCACGTCACAGAGACAGGTCCAGAAGCCAACCGGATAGAGACAACGCCTTGCCTGAGGCTCTCTTCTCAGATGATTCCAAGTTGTTGCAAGTTGGCATGAAAATTAACCAGGACTCTGTTTACACACATGGACTTTTGTGGTCTGCTAACTTTAGTACTTTAGCAAATGCCCAGCAGTGGTACACTTGGGTCATAAAGGAGTTCTGTGTTAGTTTCTCAAGTTTACCGCCCACTCCTGACTTGTTAGAACAGCTCATGAGGTTCAGGGAAACACTACACTTACTGAATTATTACAAAGGATATTTTATTATCAGCTTATATTTATTGTACAAAAGAACAAATTCATTATGACATTTTGACATTTTACGTTCCTCAATTGTTCTTAGGTCACATTTTTTCTCTCATCCCCGTTCCTGGTTCTCTTTACCCCCAAATATATTTTCATGTCCTAGTTCCATGTGACAAAGTATCCCAACAAAACAACTTTAAAGTAAGGTGTGGTGGCACACCTCTAATCCCAGCACTTGGGAGGGAAAGGCCAGCCTGGTCTACAGAGTGAGTTTCAGGACAGCCAGGGATACATAGAAAGAGAAACAACACAAGAGTCATTCAGAGGAAGAGTTTATTCAGCTCACAATTCCAGGTTTACAGGCGATCATTCTGGGGCTGTCAGGGCAGGAGCTTGAGGCAACTGGCCGCATGCACAGTCCACAGCAGTAAGAAAAAGCATGCATGTCTGCTCTCAGCTCACTGTTTCCTCTTTCACACAGTCCAAAACCCAGACCTGAATCTTCCCATATCAACTAATGTTATCCAGACACTTGCCTCCAGACGTGCCTACAGGACAGCTCAGTCCTGCTGCATGGCAAGTTTGAGGTCGGCCTAGGCTACATAAGACCCTGTCTTAGATAGTGCATTTGAAAGGACTTGTAAGTGGATTTTTTTTCTCTGTGTTGCAACTATTAGAGGACATCTTCAGGAACCAAGGATGATGGGGTAAACACTTTAGGGTTTTAGGTCCCATGAAGCAGGAATCACAGACAAGATAAGACAAAATGCAAACCGGGTATGGTGGCACACGTTTGTAATCCAAGCGCTTGGCAGGCTGAGTCAGAAGGACTGCTTCAAGTTCAAGGGCCACATAAGTTACTCCAAGGCCATTCCGAGCTATGTGGTAAAAACCTACCTCACAAAAGGAAATGAAAGCCAAAACATACAAAATATACATACCACAACGTCCTATGTCCCTGCCCTGCACCATTGCTCCAGAGTCACACTGTCATCTCTTGGTCTAGAACTGCTGAATTCTAGGATTTTCCCAGAGATATACTCCCCGCACTCTATAAACCCCCCCCCAGGGGGCTGGCAAGATGCCCCAGCACTCTTGCAGAACAGAGTTCTGTTCCCAGCACCACAATTGCCCGCAACTTCAGCTCGAAGGGATCCACTGCCCTCTAATGGTACTTGTGGTCATTGCACTCAAGCACACATACACAGAGAAACAGAAATATAAAATAAATCTTTTTAAAAAACCAGTTCCTTTTATATGTGGAATCTTTACCCCCATGTTACCTACCCTGAGAAGGTCTCAACTCATCTCATTTGAACCAGCCTTCCCCTGATTCCAGAATGAAAGCCCTGTCCTTATCCTTTGGAGAATGCCATACTTTGTGAGCTCATAGCTATCACCACAACACTTGGGTAGCGGGACAGTTTTTCGGCTGGGTGTCAGATGGTATTCAAAGCCACAGCCTGGAGTCTTCTCCCCCACAGACTGGCCACTCCTGTTTGGTTACACCAGCTATTATTGGCCACTCAGCCTTTTGCCTCCCTTGTGCTGCAGAGAAGAATTTCAGCCTTGAAGCAGGTGGCTGATTCCTCTGGAAACTAATACAATCCTTAACACACAACAGGTTTTCTAGGGACTTTTCAAAAGTCAACTTAACATCATAATTATTACTGTCCATTATCTTCTTTAACTTTTTTTTGAGACAAAGTCTCACTTTGTAGCCCTGACTGTCCTCAAGCTCACAGAGATCTGACTGCCTCTGGCTTCTAAGAACTAAAATTAAAGGCATGAATCACTATGTCAGGCTATCTTTTTAAATTAAATTTATTTTGGGTTTATGGATATATATGCCTGCTTGCATGTTTGTGTATCATGTATCTACCTGTTGGATCCCTTAGAACTTGGGATAAGTCAATGTGAACTACCATGTGGGTGCTAGAACTTGGGTCCTCTTGCTCTTAACCGGTGAGCAATCTCTCTAGCCTCTCTTTTAAATTCATGTGTGCGTGCATGTGGTGTGTGTGTGTGTGTGTGTGTGTGTGTGTGCGTGTGTGATGGGTGTGCACCAGGACACCTGTGTTGAAGTTAGAGGACAACTTGTAGAAGTTTGTTCTCTCTTCCCATCACATATAGCATGGAGACTTGAACTCAGGTTGTCAGGCCTTTAATGCTGAGCCATCTCACTGGCCTCTGCCATTATTGTTTGAGACAGGATTTTGCTTTGTAGTTCAGGATGGCTTCAAACATCATCCTCCTGCCTCAATCTCTCAAGTGCTGGGAAAACGGATGTGTGTTAGCACATTCAAGAGCACCTCCCGTTCTAGAAAATGCTTGCTCTCTCTTGTGGCTCAGAATCTACCCTTGTGAGAAGGCACTCAAGGTAAATTATGAACCCATTTTAAAGGCAAGAGAGCAGAGAGCTGGGTGTGGGTGGCACACACCTGTCATACTCACACTCTGCAGGGTGAGGCAGGAGGATGGTCAGGAGGATTCCAGACCAGCTCAGGCTGCCAAGCAAGACCATGTCTCATGTAAAACAAAACAAAACAAAACAAAAAAAGGAAGCAAAGAAGTTTCAGGCTTTATGACTTATTCAAAAGCAGGGATTAGCATTAAGCAGATGCAGGGTCATAGGCAAAGATATGAAAACAAGGACTGCTGAATAAGGATGGGTGAGATGAAAGGAGACTCGTGGGGTGATGAGACCTTTGGCTCCTGTAACTGCAGGGAACAGAGAGCTGTTGATTTGTGGTGGCAATGACTCAGAGAGGGGCAGAGCTGACAGGGGCTGGGCCTTGCAGAATGTGGGATGTAGCTTGCATCGGGATGTCGGAGCAGGGAATAGACTGTGGGATGTAGTTTGTGTCTGGATGTCGGAGCAGGAATAGAATGTGGGATGTAGCTTGTGTCGGGATGTCGGAG